CCGGAAGGAGGGCGGCGGCGGCTGGTGACGGCGGCGTGGAGGAGCGGCGGCGGCGGCGGCGCGGAGGCGCGGCGGCGGCGGCGGCGGCTAGGGTTAGGATCGTGCTGCGATAGATACCATGTAGAAGGACAAGATATGGGCTGTGCAATCTCGATGTATTGATCGGTGCACCAGACAGGTATATATAAGTACAAAGGTGGGCCACAACCTCAACTATACAAAAGAAACAGAAGGTGGGTCCTACACACAAATATACACGTACACACTATACTCAACCCTTTGCATCGTCGTCGTTGTTGAGAGGGGGCGGGTCTCGCAGCTGCGCCGAGGGCTGGTGGATGCAAGACGATAGGAGAAGGACAACCGGGGGACTGAGTTGCTATGAATTGGACGGGCCACATGAGATCCTAATCGAATGGCTGGCTGGGCAGATGATTTCTCTAGGAAATCGTCTGGTTGATCCGTAGCAGACACCTTCAAACAATGGCGAAGATTGTTTGCAAGTTTTAGAGAAAGCGAGAAAGTGAGCGTGGAGTATTGGTGATAGGTGGTGTGAAATTGTCCCTAGGGAATTGAGTATGACACTAGAAAGATAATCGTCATTTCGGTTTTATATATGGGAGAGGCCTATGCTAAAATACTAATTGTACTTGAAATTGTTCGTATTTATGATTGAAATCCTAGCAAGTACCTGCAACTATTAGGAATTTATTACATATGATCAATCTCCTCTAAAAACATAACAAATTCACGGTCATCTAAAAATTTGGCTCAAGACATACATGAACCTAAACATGGCAATGAAAGAGTTATGGAACACGGATTCATGGGAAAAAAATTGGGATATGAGTAGAACATACCGTAGATCATTCACTCGGAAGGACTCGAACTAAAAACGAGTAGGGAGAGGGATCCGATGAAGCTTTGGAGAGATTTGGAGGAAGAAAAAAAAAGAAGAGATCAAAAATTAGGGTAGTTTTACCTTTTCTTGGGCTGATATGAGTGAAATTGGACGTGGAACGAGTGAGTGCGCTCATACAAGCGTTGTCAAACGCCCTGGTTTCAAAATCCCGCTGAAACGCACCTGGTACGAAAGACGATACGAGCGCTTGCATTTCTCTTTTTGTAGGGCTTGCTTGTGTTGTGGCCCCAGCAAACTATGTGTGTCAGTTTGTTGGTATTCCTTGTTGGACCGGTTGGTTGCTTTATTTATAAAGCAGGGTGAAAACCTGTTTCGAGAAAACCGTGGAACACACAAAATTATCATTTCTCCTTCTATAGGTTCTACTAAGACGCTTACATATAACTATTGTGAAATGTTCACAACAAAATTCAAAATAGTATTATTATCTCAACGGAATAGGCTAAGAATAAATCTTAGTTGACTCTACAAATTTGTTCATATGCATCTGAAAAATATCGGCCGCTTTGTAATAATTTGACAAGAGTTCAAAGAAATGTCAAATCTTGCACTGATCTCTATGCATGGTGGGCGATCAGCAACTATTCCCTTCGTCCTATACTAATGTAATAGCGATTTTTATAATACACTAGTGCAAAAAATGATCTTATACTATGGGGCACAGGAAGTACGTACCTGGCAACATGTTTCCTTTTTTAGAGTCCAAGAAACACAAGTTCTGCTAATTAATTGTAGCCCAAGTCATCCTAGTACCGAAGATAATAAAGTGTTCCCGTATCAACACGATCTCTCTCTATCTCCAGCGGCGTTGAAACATGAAATAACCATCCCCCCTCAAAAAAAATGAAATAACCATCCCCACAAAAAAATGAAATAGACATGCATATATATATACATAACATACACCTGCGCCTGTTATCCTTGACAGATTAGATCTGCGATCTCCTTTGCTCCAATCATGTCTTCGTCGATCAAGCCAATGTCGGCGCTGGTGTCCGCCCTGCGCAGCGCCGGGCGGCAGCACATCACCGCGTCCACCGTCGCCGCGAGGGAGCCGGTCACCGGCTCCCACGTCTTCCGGATCCACGGCTACAAGCAGGTGAGGAAAACGGTCCCCAACGGCACGGCGGTCGAGTCACCCACGTTCGACGTCGGCGGCCACCGCTGGAAAGTACAGTGCTACCCGAACGGCGACCGCAAAGAGGCCGACGGCTCCACGTCCATCTTCCTTACCAGCCTCGGCGACGCCACGGCAGAGTTCAAGCTTAGCGTGCTCGACCACCACGGGGAGCCCTCGGTGAATGGAGCCGTGCAGCAGCAACGCTACTCGGCTAATCGCTACTGGGGCTGGATAAAGTTCCTCGACAAGGAAAATCCCAACCATAGTAAGCATCTTGAGGATGATTGCCTCACTGTCCTTTGCGACGTCACCGTCGACCCCGGGCTGCGCGCGGAAGCCGAGGTGGCGGCGGCGCCGCCGTTCGACCTGCGCGGGCAGCTCGCGGAAGCCCTCTGGAACAAGCACCCAGCGGACGTGACGGTCCACGTCGGCGGCGAAACCTTGGCCGCGCACCGGTGGGTGCTGGAGGCCCGGTCCGCCGTCTTCAAAGCGGACCTCGAGGGCAACGCCACCGGCGAGCTACGTGTCGACGACATGGACGCGGAGGTGTTCAAGACCCTGCTCCAGTTCATGTACACGGACAGCCCGCCGCAGCTCGATACAATGGCGGAGGCGGACAACCAACTTCCGAACCAGCAACTCGATCAGGCCGAGGCAACGTCGAAGGCGGAGCGGCTGCTCGTGGCGGCGGACAGGCACGGGCTGGAGGACCTGAAGATCGCCTGCGCCAAGGCGCTGCGGCCGCGCGTGGACATGGGCTCTGTGGCCGCCATGCTGTCGCTGGCTGAGCGGCATGGCTGCGCCGTGCTCAAGGAGGCGTGCATGGACTTCCTCTCTTGTCCCGGTAATCTGAAATCCTTCATGGCCACCGATGGATTTGAGCAGCTCAGGGCAAGCTGCCCTTCTGCCGCGCTGGATCTCGTCATTAAGCAGCTCCCGTGATTCTTCTGCCTAGAAGTTTCATTGCTCTTTACATACAGCTTTTAGCAACAGCATTCTCGTGTCGATATATTCCCTATGTTCGGACTTAATTTATTAGGGAGCTCCTCGTATTTTAGGTCAAACTTTTACTATAGATGTTACTCGCCAAAATATAAGTGATGATTGTTACAAAAAGTTATTGTTAGATTCAAATTTGAAAGAAGTTCTTGATGGCACGCCCTCTGTCCCAAAATATTGTGCTTAATTATTAGATTTTTTACAAGTCAACTACTATTATAAATTTTGATCAATTTATAGGAGAAATTCTTTACATCTAAAATACCGCCTGGTCGTTAGATGGATTTTGTTTTGAGATTTGCACGTCCCACTTATATTTTTGAGACAAGATTAATTCACGGACTTGTTGGACGTGTGATTTGTTTGATGTTCTTGCTAAAGAGCTACCGTTGAGGATTTTTGTGACAATTTTTACTTCTGGTTCTGGTGAACGAATAATCAAGTCCTCCTCTTTCCGGACAAGAATACAAAGAGACATGCCAACAGTCATTCTATTCTATCTTTGAAAGATATATATTGTGATTAGTTTTTTTTTTCTTTACTATCTACCATGCTCCTATATGTTTTTAGTTATTCACTAAAGCAATTATTTGCTTGATGTTCTTGCTAAAGAGCTAACCATTGAGGGTTTTTTGTGAGTGTTTTAGTTTTTTTTTGGAGTGTTTTTGCTGCGTAGGGGCGGTGTGGACTGGCCGGTTGAGGTGGAAGGGGCCTTTTCTGATTGTTTTTGACATTTTTATCTGTTTTTATAACTGCTCTTTTGTCTTTTCAATTTAATTTTCAATGAAGAAGGGTTTGACCGACTGGCCACATCTTATTCATTTTCTAATGTGTCCTTTCCTTTTCTCCTCAAGCGCACCTGCCGGCTTATCCTCTTCCTTGAACTATCTTTGCGCGCGTGCTTGTGTATGTTTTGGATTTTGTTAATTCTTAAATTTTTAAATTTATTTAAGAAGTGTTCAGTGCATATTTGAAAAATATTCACCGTATACTTAAAAATGTTCAGTGTGTGTTCATGGTACTTTAAAAAACAATTCAGTGTGCCTTTTGAAAAATGGTCATCACTTGTTAGAAAGATTATAATAGAAAACAAAAGCTTAAAAAGGAAAAAACTAAAAAAAAACTAGACCTGGAAGATAAAAAAACAAATAAAATTGAAAAACGTAAGTAAACAAGATTTTAGTGTGAACATATATTTTGCAGTTACAGATCACCTTTTTCTAAAAACAGCATGCACGGTTTGAAGAAAGATTGAGGAGAAACATACTGGGCTTCTACTGGGCCAATGAGGCGAGG